CTGGTACTGTTCCTTTGACATAGCTACTTTTATTTCACACTGGAAACAGAAAGTTAAAGTCAGATTCAATTAGCAAAGATAATCCTCACAAGCCATTCTTAAACTTAACAGAACACTGAGCAGAAAATAGGATTTGGTCACCCTAGTGCTCTCCCTGAAAAAAAATGGACAGCTTACACTCTCCAACTTGAAAACAGTTGTGAGATGCTTGCGTTATAAAAACATTTCAAGTTCCTAGTTTTCTACCAGTAGAACCAATTCTGAAAATAATGCTTGTTTCTTTGTATGTTTTCCTGTCTCTCCTTTGAAATAGACCTCTGAGGTCTACTTCTCTGGGAAAAGTGCAATAAAATCTGAGTTACAAAAGTATGATAAACATTTTTACTCAACTGTGTTCTAAAGCTTCCACTACATATTTACCCAATGAAGAAGAGAACACCTACAATTTGAGTTTTTGTTTTGTCAGGTTGAATTTTAACCAGGTTTCTGAAAGGACTGTAACTTCCAACAGGAAAGCGTAATTTCCCATTTCATTTCCGTTTTGGAGCACTCTAAGGTAAACTGACATTTTAGTTAAAACAACAAAATATTTCCGTATTAAGCACACAAAGATCCAGCTGCCAGAACAACATGGTGCAGCCTGATACGGCAGATCATTGACGCAGCACTCGGACCGCAGAGCTAGGGAATGTGGGAGCTTCACAATGAACGCCTACTCTGTGGCCCAGCCCTCTCTCCACAGGGGTGCCAACAAAATCTCAGCAGAAACCCCTTCAGCTCGTAAGTTAAGATGACAGTAACCTATTCCTAGCACCTATATGAACAATTCAAAGGCTTCATGCCTACATGTGAGAAGTCATGCTTACCGACATTGTCAGACTACTATCCCCACACAGATGCAATTGATAATGTAACTCCGTCTATTGTCATTGCTCAGTTTCTCTAGGAAAAACTCCACCTACTTTACTAAGCCCAACATTGTGGTATTTCTTTTCCATTATTTTCTTCACTGGTTCCTCCTCCTTGAAAGTAATGAAGCAAAATCCACGCCTCTTGTTCGTTTTGTTGTCCATGGGGAGTTCTATCGATTCAACCTGTTAGAAGACAGCGATTTTATCTTTTATCCTGCCACTTAAAAATGTTTCTAGCAGGTCGTATTCATTAACTGAAATTATTTAGACTTGAATATGATAACATGCCTCCTTTGTATGGCCTAACATCACTAGAAACCATCACCGTCAGCATCACAAACATCACCTTCACTAGAAGCAGTGTTCACAATTGTGTAAAAGATTTTTTCCCTCTAACTCATTTGCCCATCCAGGAACTCATAAAACATACAGTGCACAAAGAATATTTTGGTTGTGCCGGATAAACAGTCTCGGTTTGACTTTCAGTTTTAACTCAGTTAAGACTGAAGTTAACTAGTGTTTCAAACTTTGAGCAGACCTCAACCTTAAAGTTTCACACAAAAAAGATGTAGCTTTGTGCAAGTGCATAGATCCGTTTGTCCACAATGCTGCTAAAATTGTATGTTAACCAGAGCAAATTTTACACCTGACTACAAGCATAGAGTAAAGTTCTCACATATGGCACACAAGACTTCAGCCTAGGCAAACAGTAGTTAAAGTCCACAATCCAGAGTGAACTGTCTGTAAGGCAGTAAGATGTCAGGTACTTGACAAATTCCCTGACAACGGAGCTGTCATGACCCGATACTGGCAACATCTGAGAACCAGTAGGGAAGCAACAGCTGCACCAAGCTCATACAAGGCCAGCTTGTAAGGACTGCAGTGATATTTTTGCACCACCAAAAACCAGGGACAGAGAGAGACACAGACAACACAGTTGCACAGAATTTAAGCAAATTGCCTCAATCTGTGCCGTAGCAGATCAGCTGGGGTGGCTGAAGAGCATCTCACCCAACTGACCAAAGCAGCATGCTCAAAAACAGTCTCCCACGCCTGTCCTGACTCTCTGACTTATCCCACCTCATCCTTCCATTAACCCAGTTTATGCAACTCACAGTCTCTAATACATACCCCTATATTAAAATTGTGACTACTGAGACACATGGAACTACACTGGCCATTAAGCTTATGGTAGCATCCATGCGGGTTGCATTTGTGGGCTGCTTTTTATTACTAAATTTGTGAAGATAGAAAAGGTTCTATAAGTATAAGCAGTTTATTTAACCACGCACCTCACCAAAACCTCCAAAATATTCCCTTATTTTCTCCTCAGGCGTGTCTGGAGATAAGCCCCCAACAAAAATCTTTTTAACGGGTTCTTTTGTTTTCATGGCTTTAGCTCTTTTCGGATCAATGACCTTTCCATTCAGCTTGTGCTCCTTCTGGTCCATGACCTGTGGAAAATTAAAACACAATCTCACTGGCAGTTCACGCTAGTATGTGTCACTAATGTTTGAGCTAGGCCTAGTTATTTTATACTTTGTTTCAAATACTTTAATTACAGCAATAACTTCTTGCACAAAACCAAACAGTTCCATGATTTTCATCACTATCCACTGACACAGACAGTTCTGACAAAGTCCTTCAAGTCACCTGCAACCACAAATCAGCCAGGTGAAGTAAGAGTGTAAGATTTCTCAGAACGTACTCTACTATCATGAAGTCAAGAATCTGAACTTTAGATACTTATCTAAAATTAATAGTTAATATTCAAGCATCACCTCCTCCAAGCTCAGGAGTGATGCACCCCAACAAAAAGGGAGTCAGGCAGAAACACCAGGAGCCTGCACAGATGAACAAGGAGTTGCTGGACAAACTGAAACACAAAAGGGAAGCCTCCAGAGGGTGGAAGAAGTGACAGGTAGTCTAGGAGGAATACAGAGAAGAAACTGCTCGAGCAGCTAGGGAACAGGTTAGAAAAACTAAAGCCCTGATAGAATTAAATCTGGCCAGGGACACCAAAGGCAACAAAAACTTGTACAGGTATGTCAGTCATAAAAGCAGGACAAGGGAAAACATGGGCCCTTTCTGGAAAGAAACAAGAGACCTGGTTACCCAAGACATACAGAAGGCTGAGGTACTCAGCAAGTGCTCCAGCCGCACTGCCAAAGTCACAGAAGGCAAAGGCAGGGACTGGGAGAATGAAGAACCGCCCATTGTAGCAGAATATCAGGTTAGAGACCATCTAAGGAACCTGAAGGTGCACAAGTCCATGGGACCTGATGGAATGCATCTGCAGGTCCTGAGGGAACTGGCAGATGAAGTTGCTAAGCCACTATTCATCATACTTAAGAAGTTGCGGCAGTCTGGTGAAGTTTCCATCAACTGGTAAAGGGGAAACATAGCCCCCATTTTTGAAAAAGGAAGACCCAGGGAACTCCGGGCCAGTCAGTCTCACCTCTGTGCCTGGCAAGATCATGGAGCAGATCCTCCTGGAAACTATGCTAAGGCACATGGAAATAAGGAGGTGACTGGTGACAGCCAACATGGCTTCACTAAGGGCAAATTGTGCCTGACAAATCTGGTGGCCTTCTACAACGGGGTAACAGCGCTGGTGGGTGAAGGAAGAGAAACAGACGTCATCTACTTGGACTTGTTCAAAGCATTTGACAGTGTCCTGCACGACATCCTTATCTCTGAATTGGAGAGACATGGATTTGACAATGGACCACTTAGCGGATAAGGAACTGGCTGGACGGTTGCACTCCAAGAGTTGTGGTCAACAGCTCCATGTCCAAGTGGAGACCAGTGACAAGTGGCGTTCCTCAGGGGTCTGTATCAGGTCTGGTGCTGTTCAATATCTTTGTCAGCAACATGGACAATGGGACTAAGTGCACCCTCAGCAAGTTTACTGATGACACCAAGCTGTGTGGCGTGGTCAACACACTGGAGGGAAGGAATGCCATCCAGAGGGACCCTGACAAGCTTGAGAGCTGGGCCCACGAGAACTTAATGAAGTTCAACAAGGCCAAATAACAAGGTCCTGTGCTTGGGTCAAGGCAATCCCAAGCATACAAACACAGACTGGGCAGAAAATGGATTGAGAACAGCCCTGAAGAGAAAGACTTGGGGGTGTTGGTTGATGAGAAGCTCAACATGAGCTAGCAGTGTGCCAGCAGTGTGTGCCTGCAGCCCAGAAAGCCAAACGTATCCTGGGCTGTATGAAAAGAAGTGTGGCCAGCAGGTCGAGGGAGGTGATTCTGTCCTCTGCTCTCATGAGACGTCACCTGGAATACTGCCCTGTTGGAATGAGTCCAGAGGAGGGCCACTAAGACAGCTAGAGGGCTGGAGAACCTCTCCTGTGAAGACAGGCTGAGAGAGTTGGGGCTGTTCAGCCTGGAGAAAGAGAAGGCTCTGGGGAGACCTTCTAGCAGCCTTCCAGTGCCTAAAAGTGGCCTACAAGGAAGCTGGAGAGGGACTTTTTACAAGGGTGTGAAGTGACAGGACAAGGGGCAATGGCTTTAAACTGAAAGAGGGGAAATTTAGATTAGATCTAAGGAAGAAATCCTTCACTCTGAGGGTGGTGAGGCACTGGAACAGGTTGCCCAGAGAAGGTGTGGCTGCCTATCCCTGGATGAGGCTTTGAGCAACCTGATCTAGTTGAAGGTGTGTGTGCCAGGGGAAATGGAACTATATCATTTTTAAGGTCCCTTTCAACCCAAACCATTCTACGATTCTGTGATACTGCCAAAGGTCACTGGAGGTGAAAACTTTTGAGTGTGGTGTCTCAACAGCATTTTAGAAAGGTTAACGGCTAATTTTTGCTTGGATAAAGCCCAAATCTATCACAGCCACTGGCTCTACTCCAGAGGTTCACATTGCAGCTCTGTAATGCAAAGACTTGAAGTTCTTTGTAAATTACTGCTTTCACAGTGACAGGCAGCAGCCATTTTATATGGTGTTTGTAAAGTGCTCAACTCCAGCTGCTTGCAGTACACTCCCCTGTAAGTACCTAAAGCCATACTTAGTCCTGGCCACTGCACCATGAGTAAGACAGTTTAGGAAAAAAGATTTCCACAAGCATCTTAAACACACTGTGTCCCAGAATCATCTTTAACAGATCACATACAAACAACTATGCATACAATCGCCTGAGTGCTGTGTCTTTGCTACCTAAAATTGAACAAGTTGTTTCATTACATGAACACTACCTTATCTACGCTCTCCGATTCTTTGAAGAGTACAAAGCCGAAGCCTCTCGATCGCCCAGTGATGGGATCTAACTTCAGAGTGCAGTCTACGACTTCACCAAATTTAGAGAAATAGTCTTTCAGATCTTTCTTTGTAGTGTCCCAGCTAAGGCCGCCAATAAACATTTTCCTGTTAAGACAAAATGGTTAATTTGTTAATGCATCTTACCCCAAATCCTGTGCTGTCAAGCTTTATGAGCTCAGTTACCTAGTGTAAGGAATAGCAGAATTTTATCAGTGACACAGCACACATAGGCCCGAACTTTTTGAGAACTTGCTTAAACAATCCTGGCCAGATTAGATAAAGACTTACATGTACACAAGTTTTACATCATCTTCTGCTGCAGTTGCTTACTCTGCTATCTCAAGCTACAAAGTGTGACGAAAACGTATTTACTACTTCCTTGCATTCCCACCACAGGCTTAATTCCATTTAGTTACCTGTAGAAACTCCACACGACTGCTTATGAAACGAATACAGGCAGAACAGACTTATAAGGCAGTGCTGTTAAACAGAAGCATTTATTTACTACTCTGGATTGGACATATGCCAGTATTAGTAAACTAAAACAAACAAAGTTCAGTGAAGTCCCCTTCCTCAGAAAGCTGTAAAAAAGCTAAGTACTGGATGGTCAAAACTTATAATTCCTCCAAAAAAAACCCAGAATATAAACACCTGGCATAATTCAATACAATCACAAGAACATCTTCTCAATATATTACCTCCAGGACCAGTGTTGCTGGGCAAATGTGTACAGCAGGTAACGCTGATCACGACTTGTTTTTTCAAAAGCACACTGGAAGCCTGGAATCAAATCATGACCATTCCATCACATTAAGCCACAAAAAAAAAAAAAAAAAATCAAGAACCACTGTGTCTTGAGAAGAAACACTTTATGATTTGCATCAAAAATATGCACATAAATGAAACATTCCTAGTTATTAGGCATACGGCTTATGCACCCTTTCCAAAGAAGATTTGATGTGAGATGATCTCTTCTCATACTGATAAAGAACATTTTATAACGGGCTCAAAACAAAAAGTATGACCCATTATGATCTATAAAAACACTTTCTACAAAGCTTTGTCCATTTTCATCGTACCAACTTATTTCAAAATCATATAGACAGTTATCAGAAAACCTGAAAAATTACTGTAGCATGTTTCTAACTCTGCTTTCCACACACATACAAATATTTCTGCCAATCATGTACAATTGCATTGTACTTCCACAAGTTAAACTCTCTCAAATCAAAAGCTGCTCGTGTGAACTAACTGTTGAATTAGCTGTGCTCTTACAGAATTAACAAGAGCATTCAGCTTCTGACAAACATATCCAACCTCCATACAGATGAGGGCATTCAGGAGCTTCAGATGTTTCTATAAAAAGTCTTGAAGTCTGTAAACAGGAGCACCGATACCCTATCCCTTTATTCACTTTTCCCATTAGTTCCAGATGTCTCTTCAACAAAACACTAAAAGCCCTTTCTAGTGTGACGTTTTACTGTCTTCAGGACCAATATGGAAATAAACCAGCAACCTCATACCAGTATAGTTGCTTTGTGTCCTTGTGTTCATCCATCATTAAGGTTCTTTTTGTTTGTTTTGTGGGGTTTTTTTAAGAGGCAAAACACAACACGTACAGAGGAGGCGGCATCGTATTTCTGACACATGGAGGACAGGGATACTCTAGCAGTTACTACGAAACATACACTTGCTACATGACATAAAAAACACCTGGTTTACAGTTATCATCAAACCATTAACATACACAAAACTTGTTTTATAAACAATCGTTACATACAAAACTCTGCTTTATATCACAAGCAAGACGGGTCAAGAACACAAGTTTGAAACTGACAGCCATACGAAAGATTTTGTTTCCACCATGCAATAACTGCATCTGTGAGTCCAGTTACAAAGCAGCAAAACATGACTGCTTCAGCTTGCCACTACAGAAGGTGATGAGCTACTGCTCCACTGCAAAACTGAGGTTTGTCATGTCAGCGCATACAGTTTTCCAAAAGTGTGCACCACAAGTGTACTGGGAAAGCTTTCAAACTTCAGATCTAGCTAAACAGACCATAGACATCACCAGGACGAGTGGCTTTGGCCTTCCTCCAACAGGCTAATCGGGAAGTTGTCTGGCAGTTGCCAAAATGTGGATTTCTCAAGTCCGCAGTTCTCATAGAGGAGCTATGACAGTACGAGAACCTGCGCACTGCGTTTTCCTGAAGACAATGTCTCTTGATTCCTAATGCAAAGGAAACTCCAATGTACCCGCACCCAGCAGCTACCAAGGATGTGCTGTTTTCTCTCTACTACCAAGAGAGCTGTCAAAACACTTTGTCTCCTATGCAGCATTACCTATAAGAACTGACAGGTCAAAAAACCCACTTAACTAAACTACGACTTAATGTATGCTACAAGTAATCACTGCCCAATGTCACTGCACCACTCAGTGACAACTTTTTCTAGGCAGTGTTGACTCAAAAGAGGACAGGCTTCCACATGAAAATCTTTTAACAGGCGTGTACTCAAGGGCAAAAAGTAAAACAAATGCACAAACTGCGAAGGTACTTAAAGCCATTAAGAGCAGGTGAGAAGTAACAAAAACATCCTATGTTTTCACTAACCCTACCAAATACTCGAAAAAGGTTCCTGCTCTCTCTCCCTGTTTTCAGCAACATCCCGGGTTATTAAGAAGTAGGAAGACGCTCCAGAAGGTTTCGCAGTAACTCTCTATAGGACACAGTAGCCAGCGTTCCTTTATCCAGTTTATCTTCTGCCTTGATCAAAAACAGACCTGCTGCTTGAGTTTCTTATTGGCCTGACAGAAGACAGCACACAGCAGCAGCCTGACCTGCAACTGGATTTATTATAAGTGAATTTCACCTGCTATATGAAAGCGACACTGCCCCATGACAAGCATCAGGCAGAGACCCTTAGAAGGCTGAAAGTTAACTTCATTCTTAAGCTGTCGCCTAAACGAATCTTCCTCACAGTGCGTTTCACGAGAAGAGGAGGAATGGTTTAGGGTCGGAAGAAGTCAAGATGCCTTGTGCCTCTCGCTGACATGCAACTGACACGCAGTTTATGTTTGCAATATACCTCAACACTAAGCGATTGCAACCTGAGCATTCAGCCGCATGCACCGTCCTGAATACACGCACTGCACACTAACTTTTAGAAAAAAAGTCCACAAAAAAAAAAAAAAGTGTGTAGTTTGGCACACATCACACTGGACGGGCACTTACGGACCAGTCGGCGCCAACCGCCGCGGG